CTGTTCATCGTGCACTATGGTCTGAATGAGACTAGTGCTAATGATGGATAAAAGTAACATCAATTATTGTAATTTACAGTCACTATCACTGCCGAATGCATAAGTATAGAATGAATTATTTTGTAGTTCAAATGCAATTCTGCATATATATATATGCTTTTTTAAAAAATCCATACAAAATTATGTATTGATAGAAATGTGTAATAAAGCTCACTTAACCAAGGAGGTCAGGAGCATCATAAACCAAGAGTAAAACAAGCAGATTATGTATGTCAAATAATTCAAAAAAACTAATGATTTACTCAGCCCCAATTATTTATTAAAAATAAATTACTCTGGCCTAAAATGAGAATACTGGCTTAAATATTTAAGTGTTGGCAAAATCACAGTTTAAAAATTTAAGAGTCTGTTTTGCTTATTATTACTTACTCTTAATACTATCATTTAATAATCCTTGCATTTGATGTTGCTGAGACCCACAGTATCAAAGTGCTTCAGAAAGATTCTGCGAAGTATAGCTATTCCAAAATAGGGCAAGTTTATCTATCACATTTAAACTGGTTTTGAAATAGCTCTTCTAAAATGGTATGGAAGCTTAAGATACAAAAAAATCTTCGCATTCAATCCTTGCAAATTTTCTTAAACATTTGTAAAGTGAACCATCAATAATATACTACATTTTCCATGATTCAATGCGATTTCCACATTGAACTGGTGTGAACTCTGCTGTTAACTGCAATTTTAGGACTGCAATACCAACTTAGGAGAAGCAGTGCGACACAGTCTTGAAGAATCTCGCACTGCCCAACCGCAGCTAATGCAAAGTGAACTTTGAAAAATTGAAAAGCAGTTTAAATTTAAAACGCCATCAGATTACCTACCTACAGTTAGACATTTGCCAAGAATAACTTTGTGCATGCTCAGCTTCACTAAGCTAAGCAGGAAAGTGATTGGATGGGGTGCTTGCATGCAGTCAAAGTTCCTTGTTGCAAGTTTGGATCCCTCAATTCACATGCATCAGTACAACAGAGAAACCACACTCGCAAAGCNAAAAAAAAAATTCAAATAAAGCACTGATTCACCCATTTACGCTGTAAAGGGGAATCCGCAGTTCCAACAGTAATAATTAAATCTACATACGCAATACTGAACATATTGCTTTCCAAAAGTCATAATTGCTACTTATTGTGGCAAAACTGCTGTGGTTGGTTTGCACTGGCGGTCTGAGCCCTGGCACAGCCAGAGGCCCTTTTTCAGCCTGTTGCTTCCAGAAGTATGGAGGAAGCCCACTTCGAGATGTGGTCCACAACCTCTGGAGACACAGCGCTGCAATAGGAACATGGCATAAGGCGCCCAATATAAATGACTTCTCACGTTTCAATTTGGGGTGAAAAAATGGCAACTGGCAGGGTCATGCCCTTCGATCGATGACCGCTTGCCCCCCCGCATGGGATGCAGACTGTTAACAGGTAAAAAGGGAAGCAGGACCGATTTTAGCGTTGGACCAGCTGATAACACGGCATCTTTTGAAAAAAAAACCGCAAGTTTAAACGGCTGCAAAAAACATTACCCTCATCGTTAATTTCCAACGCGGTACACACGTGTTGAAACATCTCCCCCCCCTCCACTCCGGCAGCACTGAAGTACGCGTTCTTTCTTTCAAAACCCGCCGACAACCTCCGGGGGGAACACACCGACCAACACTCGGCTCCACCGGAGAACTTCGCAATGTGCCGAAAGACCACACAAAAAAAATACAACGGGAGGAGGAGGAGGAGGAGGAGGAAAAAAAAATAAACCGAAATAGACAAGACTACGGTGCTGATAACTGCGCTCTGTACCGTCGATTTAAAGATCCTTCAAAGTCATAAAAATACATTGACGAAACGACGTGGAAACGCCTCGCCAAAAATCACACGCCTTTCACCTGTCGATCCCAGCAGAAGCCGATGATGTTAACCTTTTTTTTATTGGGGGGGGCGGGGGGGGGGGGGGGAGAAATCGCAAAAAAAAATTGTAAAGCGATGGAAAGAAAGGGCAGTCACCTCGTTTTGCCGGAGGCACGGCTTCGATCCTCTGGTGTTGCAGTTACAGGCAAAGAGGGGGTGGTGTGTGTGTGTGTGTGGGGGGGGGGTGTGTGTGTGGGGTGTGGTGTGTGTGGGGGGGGTGGTGTGTGTGTGGGGGGTGTGTGTGTGTGGGAGTGTGTGTGTGGGGGGTGTGTGTGTGGGGGGTGTGTGTGTGGGGTGTGTGTGTGTGGGGGGGGTGTGGGGGTGGAACTACAGCCCCTATACAACTAAAGGATTATATTCCGCCAAATTAATTTCACCTTTTAACTCCAAAAGAAACAAGAAAAAAGGGGTTGTTTTTTTATATATAAAAAAAACACACACACGTTACGTTTCAAGACGATTCATTCGCATCCGCGACAACTCCCGCGACCCCGACGGACGGGGTTCTCGGTGAACGACAACAGCGCGCGCGGCGTTTGTGTGTGTGTGTGTGTGTGTGTTTTTCCCCATCATCTCCCCACCCCCCCCCCACCCCACCGGCGGATTCCGACCCCCAAAGTCGTTACCGTCAAAAAAAAAACTTCGCGTCGGATCGTTTAATAGAGGGGACGGGGACGGGACCGGGACACGGACGACGCCGACGGGAACGTTCAGAGATGGGCTCTCAACAAAAAGCCGACGGGAGGATCGCCGCTTTCCTCCGCGGCGGTTCTGATCGCCCCGCGGACCGGGACCCCCGGAACTCCCGAAGCCCGACAGCAGTGGCGAGAACGACTTAAAACAGTTGACCGTCCGTCCGTTGCCCTCTCCCTCCCTCCCTCTCTCTCTCTCCCTCTCCCCGTGCAGCCGCGGACAGCGCGTTACGGCACACGGCGGCTTTTGCGGGGATGAAACAATTAAAGTATAACCTGAGGAGATGTGCCTGTGATCCGGGGGGGGGGAGAGGGTGGGGGGGGGGGGGGGGGAGAGGGAGGGGGGGGAGAGAGGGAGGGGGGGGAGAGGGGGGGGGGGAGCGGGGGGAGAGAGAGAGAGAGGGGGGGGGGGAGAGAGGGGGTCGCCGGGGAGCGGAACCGACACGAGATTCCGAGCTGTTTTTGTTTTGGTGGTGGTGGGGGGGGGGGGAGTGGGGGTTTATAACGGAAACAAAAAAAAACCCACCGACTAACCAGCTCTACACTTGCCGGCTCTCCCCAACAGCCGCCGTGACCCTACCCCCGGCCGGGGTTCAACCCCACACCCCCCACACACACACCCCCACCCACACACACCAGCTGCGTACGACCGCCGCTGCGCTGCTCCGCTCCGCTCTGCCGCTGACCCGCACTCAACCGCCGGCTCGCGCTCCGCTCGCGCCGCACTCACCAACCGCCGCCGCCGCCGCTCGCGCTGACCTGGAGCTTCGCGCCTAACACCCCCCCCCCTCAGCTCATCACAAAGCTTCTCCGCCGCCGCCACCGCCGCCACCCGGTCGCCCAGTTCGCCTCAGCCCGGAGGAGGCAAAAGGGTGTCCCACGATCAGTGTGGAGTTTCTCTCTCTCTCTCTCTCTCCCCCACCAAAAAAAACACACACCACAGCTGCCCCCCCCCCTCCCTCCCTCCCCCCCCCCGCGACACGCCAAGCGAAGGCGGCTCACACACTCGCCTGCCCTCCTGAACCTCTCTTGAGGGGCCGAAGCGGTTGCTGCGGGCGATGGGCGACGCGGCCGTTCGGAGCAGAGCCCATCGCAGCCCCAGCGGCTCGGCTCGGCTCAGCCCGACTGCAGACCGACCGCCCAGCGCCGCCGCTCCCGGGGAGTGGACCTGCGCGTGCGCCGGTGGGGCGTGTGTGTGGTGGTGGTGGGGGGTGGCGACCGGAAGCCACGTGACGAAGGGGGCGGGGCGTCGCGAGAGCAAGGGGGCGGGACGGGGCTCGAGGGGCGTGGCCTGGGCGATTTGGCGGGAACCGGGTGAAGAAGTGTGAATGGGCCGCACGTGGCACAATAATAATAATAATAATAATAATAATAATCCTCGCATTTGATAGAGCGCTTTTCACGTCGGGAGGACGTCCCAAAGCGCTTCACAGAACACACTGTAAAGTGAATTGACTGTATATTTATGAACAATCCCGTCGCTCTTCCGCTGCACGTGGTCCCCTCGCATTTGCCGCGGCGTCTCTCTCATTGCTATCCGAAGCGCTAAAACCCTCTTTGCATTCGGTACATAGGTCGCTTTCACGTCCAGAGGATTTCCCTGAAGTGGGATGCGGGGTACACACTGCAGTAATATCCTCGCATTTGACCCGGCACTTGTCATACCTCGGGCGACATCAGATACCGGGAAGTGTAGCGACTGCGTGTTTTGTGGGCAAAAGCGGCAGCCCGATTCGTGCACAGCGACGTCCTGCAAACAGGCATGAAGCGAACGAGCGGTCGTATCTGGGGGAGGGTTGTTGGCCAGGACACCGGGAGAAACTTCCTTCTCTTTTCAAAGAGTGCTGTGGGATCTTTTAAGGTCCATCCGAATAGGGCTGCCGGGACCTTCGGTTTAACGCCTCATCCGAAGCACGGCATCTCCCAACAAGGTTATCGCCACTGCGTTGGAGTGTCAGCTTAGATTGTGTGAGCTCCAAGTCCCCGTGTGGGGTTTCAACCCACAACCTTCTGAATCAGACAGATAGTGCGGCCTTCTGAGCCAGGCAGACATGTACACATTGCCTAGGTGCAAAATTTGTAAATTAATTTATTTGATTTCCAACTTTTCAGGATGTCTTACCTTGAAATTCAATTCCATACCATCAGCAAACGGACAATTATTTCCTATAATCCCCTCTTCAAGGTCATCAAAAAAATTAATGAATAACAGAAGATCTAGGCTTAATTCCTGTGGGACCTGACTAGCTACTGTTTCCAATTATAACTACCCTAATTTTCTAATATCAAATAAGTTCTTTATTCAACTCTTATCTCTTTCTCTATGAGATTTCAATTTTAGAGCAACTTTCGTCTGTCTTCAAGGCTGGCTCAGACTGGAGTATGGTTCCATTTTCTGTAGCTCGAGCTGCTGTTCTTTAGGCGTAAGCATGCAAGTCAACCTGGGGAAGCATCAAATTCAAACCTGATTTCTTCCAGCAGATAGCAGTTCAGGAGCAGGGAATCCTAGCTTTCCAGGGGTAATAATTCATCCCTCCACCCCAAAAAAAAATTGGTCACTCAATCCATGACTGTTTGTGGGACAACGCTGGTAGCCAATTGAGCTCGGTGAGGATTGGGGTAATGGATGTGCAGAAGTCTTGTGCATGAGGGAACTTGGGCAACAGAGAGGAGGAGGAGTAAAATTGGTACTTTTCTGATTAACCTAATTTGCAATTTGTCAATTAGATCTAAATTAATATTGTTCATCATACTAATACTGAGTGTTATAATATAGGATTACAGTTTGTGAGTCATTCAGAAAGGTCTCATTTTTTAATTGACCTGTGCAAATTGGGCTAAATTATTCTGCTTAATTATGGAATTCCCCAAATGCACGGCAGTTATATCCTCGTGTCACAGCATCTCCCAATCCTGAGTCGCACCACACAGACACAAAGCTCAGTGTGCAATGGGGACGTCCATCAGGCTGGAGAGCACCTGGTGAACAGGAGCAGCGCAAATTGGCTCTCGCGTCCACCTACAAAAATACAATCACTACCCTCTACAGTGACTCCTGTGAAGTGCTTTGAGACGTCCTTCAGACTTGAAGAGAGCTATATTAACTGTAAGGATTATTATTATCCCTAGATGTAAAAGCAGGAAGGAGCTTCATTTCCTAGCATTCTAAACATTCAGCACAATAATTACAGAAACAGAAGCATGAAGAGCAAGCCTCTGAACATATTAATGGTAGATTTTGTAATGTCTTTCAGCATTCTTCAGTTAGTGCGTCTGGTTCAATCTCTTTCGGTTGCAGGCAGCATCATAATATAATATGAGCTTCGTCTGTTGAGTCTGTCCAAGCTTTGATGTTACAGGTAACATCACCAAGGCTACAGATTCAAATCAGGACCTGCTGAGAAGCATCATCATCTCTCAGTGCCTTATTACAGCTTCCTATGAATGTAGGAACAAAATTATCCATCCAGGAATGCTGGTAATGAGGCTCGTCTACATGTGTAGTTTTGTCTCAAGATCGTATTTTTAAACTCCAAGTCCCCACTTCAAGACCACAGTTTGGTTCTGCTGGTTGGTACATTGTGATAATGGTGTCAAGCATGACACAAGGGGAGTAATGCAGGCTTTCAAATTTAAATGCATCATTTACTAGATAAACAAAGTAATGTGTCAAATCTCTCCTCCCATCACATATACACACACAAACGCACACAATTAGCATCCAATTTTATTAAAATAATAATAGAAGCATCAAATCTGCCTCATCTGAATTATAATAATCCTTGCATTTGATGTAGCGCCTTTTCACATCGTTGTGACGTCTCAAAGTGCTTCACAGAATATACTGTAAAGTGTATATTTTGTGGGCAAAACAGCCACAAAGTGAATAATCAATTTATCCAAGATTGCTGCCCAGGATATATCTTTAACTTCCTCCTGAAAAGGCAGTCACGATTTAATTTTAGTCCCAGTTGGAGGAGAGCACCTTCAACAATGCAATACTCCCGAGAACTGCAATGGAGTGTCTGCCTAGACTGTTAGTTTGAGATCCAAATGTAGAGCTTCAACTCGTCACCTTCTGACCCAGACATGAGACTGCTGCTACTAAGCCATGCTGATATCAGTACTTCACTGACGGCGAGTTAACATATCAGTATTTTTGGCCACTTAATGCACTTTGATTTAGCCTTCAAACCCATTCGTGGTAATATAGCTCTTCGGATCCAACTTCTTTCCAAATTACTTTGATTTGAATAGACTTAACTGAGTGCAAAATGCTCCAGATCCTTAAGTGGTGTCCAAATGTGATGTCCTTTGGGTTTATGTGCAGTCATTTTAAAGCGATCATTAAAAGGGATTCAGGGGTTATGAAAACAAGAGCTGAAGGGTGAAATCACCAGCTTAACGAGGTTACAAACACAGTGTCTGAAGGCCAAAAAATGGAATATAGTACAGCAGGTTTCACTTGGCTAGTTTTCATGGCAACTAGTCTTTTTTCAGTACTTTAAAAGCATCAATTGTGCAAAGTGTAGACACAACACAAACGGAGAGGGAGCAAAAAAAACCATCAATACGCAGGCACTGAGAAAAGAGATAACATTGATCCATCTGCCATCAATATTTTGGATCGCTCCATCGACCGCTTAGAAACCTGCTGAATCAGCAACTTTGGGTTTTCCGTTCACTAACCATTCGTAACTCATACGTTAAGTGCAAGAGCTAGGCCAGGTCTGTGATTTATACTTGTGTCTGTTCAGATTAATTTTACTTAGAAGGTCCTTATCTACCATTAGACAAATAGCTATAAAGCTGGATTCAGCCTGGGCTGGATTTAAACCCAGCGTCCCTAGGTTTGACAGTTTACTAAGAAAAGCTGGAAATTCCTCTCGTCAGTCTCCAAGGAATTTTAAGCAAACGTTAAAACTCTTCATGTTGGAAGGAAATGGCAGCTCATCATTCTTGCTATCTTCTCCAGAACCCCCAACATCAGGATAATACCAGGAGGGAGATTTATGATCAGAGAGAAAGGACAGGTTGCAAACCCATTTAACAGCTTAGAGCAGTTCTAATTTTTGGCGAGAGTGAGGTCTTTCAAAGTAGGTTACACTGTAAATGACATCACTCCCATTGTTTGAGACTCGATAGCTCTGTTGTTTCACTCTTTGCTTTTTGACCCTGTGAGCCAAAGCCCTGATGGGTAAGGTGTGGTAAGCTTACACTTGTAAGGTCACAGGAGGTTGCACTGCAGTGGTGTATTAGCAGTGATACCTCAAGGCTTTGGACCACTATATCTCCCAGTTACAACAGGAGTTGATGGTGGCTATTTATATGGACACCCACCTTTGTGTTGTGCTCTTGTGCTCTCGTTTGCCTCCATGTGTACCTTTGGCGTAGGGGTTGTACTCGATCTTCATCCGCTTCATCTGGGGTTTAGGTGGAAACAACAAGTTAATATCACGGTGTTTATGTGAGAAACAGCAAACAAAACAAGCAAAAAGAATTGGAGGGTCAAAAAAAACTGTCAATACAATTCCAAGATTGAGTATGGGGGAGCTGAGTTTCTGTTATACTGCTGTAAATTGGATAGGATGGTGGTGGTGCATATGTTTTAGCACTAAAAGATTAAAGGTGGGACACAGCTGCCCTAACTCCTCACAGGTGGGATCAAACCTGATGCCAAGATTATGTACACGTTCGGTAAGTCTTTGGAATAGATTGGGCAGGTTGAGAAAGTCAGAGCCACAGGAGCGAAGACATTGATGGGCCAAGGAGTATGGCAAAGTAGGTTAATGTGAGGTTCCCTCATGCAACTGTTGTGCAGTTCTCACATTTAATTAAGTTTAATTCTGAAGGGAGTTTCTCTCTCCTGGTATCCTGGCCAACAGTTTCCCTCCGATAAAATTGATCATTCACTTCACAGATGTTCGTAGGACTTTGCTGTGCATAAATTGTCTACCTACAAAATGCACAGTCACTATACGTTACAGTAAATCCTGTGAGGTGCTTTGGGATGTCCTGACTTGAAAGGCATTATATCGAATATAAATGAATTATTATTTAGTATTATAAACAGTAGTTAGTGCAAGTTTATCAAGTGATGAGTTGTTGGCTAGTAATTGGCAGTCACAATTATATGATACCAGTGTCAAACACATACCTTTGTACTGTGGTAGTGCCCCACAGCTATGAACTCCATCTCCAGGAAGCTGTATGCCCAAGTGAAAGATGGACAATTGAGTTCCTTATCATTCTGGATCAAGTGAATTCTGGGTGTGTACTTATGCATTGGAGTCAGAGGGATCTGAGGCACATGGAAACAGAGTAGACATGAAGTCAATGTGGTCCCCGCCATGAAGGAGTTGCACATGATTGAGAAAGGAGAGAAAATGGGCACTCGTACACAGGTTGTTCTTGTTGCAAAGTTAGTTCATATTGGAAAGACGCTGGTATTCAAATTGTTGGTGATAAATTGTCACCCAGCTAGAAGTAGCTACCACAAATCAGAGAATGGACTGAGGACTTTCCACAAGGATATACAAGATTGGTTTAGATGAAGGCCCTCCAGCCAACTCAATTTCATCCCTCCAAAACACCCAACCTACCATCCCCCAATCACAGCATTGAGCTGTTTTTTTTTAAATGAGTCCAGTATCCTGGCCTCAACCATCTTTCCTTGCACCCTGTTCTAATTACTAATTATCCTTTGGATGAAGGAAAACTTTCTGGTGTCTGTCTGAAATTGTCCTTTGTAACTCTAAACCTACATCTGAGTTCTGCTGTCTTGGTGCATCCTAAAGTATTGTTTGGGGTTTGCATTTTTAAATCTCATTTAAAATGTTATGTACTGTACCTCTACACAGTCTCCTCTCAGATCTCTCCTTAAGACTGAAGAGCCCTAACTTGTCTCATGCTGCTCAGAACTCATTCCTTCAACACTGAGGGTCATCCTTGTTGCTTTCCTGGACTGTATGTCTCAATACCAGACCATCCTGTGCAGTTACTCACTGAGCTATTAGATCACCTTGTATTTTCCTTTAACTGAATCATACTCTTAGTAAAATGTGCATAAAAAAGTCCATTCCCATCATAGTCCTGCCAACTCTCTCCCTCTGTTTTAATGAGCATGCAGCGAAAGTAGAACAAGAAGTGCAATAGCAACCTGTCTCTAGAATATAACAAGAAAAAGAGCTTTTCAATTTACATTAATTACGGCTGTAATGGCATTACAAAAAAAATGTAACTTGACAAGTAAAAGATGGGATTATCAGCATTTGTACAGCAGTAAAATAGCGGTCAAACAGCACAAGTGAGGAGCAGGGCTGTCAGGGTAATTACTGGCTGGTTTGTCAGCAATCTTCTAGTTACAAAAGAACTCCATTAGCTAACCGCAGAGAAAATAGTTACACCTGCCATTTTGGTTCAATACATACAAAAATAACTGTGACATTTTGCAGTGTTAAACTGGGCTCCCCGTCGCTTCGTCGATTGTGAGTTCCAAATCTCACTCCGCTTTTGGCACTTTGAAAGCCTCCACCTGCCGTGTGGGTGAGATCCCAGCACTCTGAGCGCCAATGTGAAAGCTGCAAAAGCTGCAGTGTTCTACAGAAATGCAATCGATTTTGGTTTTATCCTCCCTCTTCCTCCCCACCCTAATTGCGCTGTTGCATGCTGACGTACAGTCCCATAGACCAGTGTGGTCCAACTGTCGGGGACGATTTCATCCAGGCCACTGTCCCTCTGAAACAAGTAGCCCGCGCACCTCATCCCAACAACCGCCCACGTGCACTAACTCACCATGCCTCTGCTCTCGCTCCCGTTTGCCGTGCAGATCTTCAGCAGTTTGAAAGCCACAGGTTTCTCGTTCAGCTCTGCCCCGAGAGCTGGTGTATCTGGGTGAATATACACTCCACTCGATTGCTAGAGGAATACAGGTAAGGAACGTTGGAATTAGTGAAGACCATTCGATCCACATCCCTTGCTCTGTCCTTCCTCCCACCTGCAGGAGTCCCTACGACTCTTTCTATTTCTCTCCAGTTTTAGTCCCACCCCAAATTCCTCTGTTCTGTAGAGCAGGATTTTGTCCATTTCCTTTTTACAACAACTTGCATTGGCTGCCATGTTTCGCCCACATAATACTTAGTTAATCCACTTTACAGCATGTCCTTTGAAGCGCTTTGAGACGTCTTAGCGACGCGATAAAGCGCTATATCAAAAGCAAGGATTATTATTATTATCTTCCCGTCTGTAACTGGAACTGCCTGTGCCTCTCTGTCCACTCTGCTATCTTCAACACTGTCAATCACTCCATTTTGCTTCACTATCTTCCTCTCTCTCTTTGTGTCACTACTCACCCAATTCCACTCCTTCCTGTCCCACCATCTTCACTAAGTTTCCTCAAATGGCTTCTTCTCATTGCTCTACGTGAGGAGCGCTATATAAAAGCAAGTTGTTGTTGTAACTATCACCCCATCCCAGACTCTTCTGACTCCCTACCCTTAAGTAGATTGACTTTTGTTCTGATCTTTAAACCCTTCTTGCCCCACCGTAGGTCTGCAGCCTATTTCTTCCCTACTGAACATTCCATATCTTCTCCATCCCACCATTGACCACAATGTCCTCGCTCTCTGGAACTCTCTCTCACAATCCCACTGTCTTGTTCCCTCGGTGCTTTCAAAACCCAGTAAAAACATACATCTTCAACCATGCCCTCAGTCACCTTTCTCATCTCCCCACTGTGTTCGGGTTTGCATTCCATGAAGCAAAGACATTTTCCTAAGTCAAAGGGATTTTACAGGTGCAAGTTGTTGTTAAGTTTCATTTTAGATATTAACAGGTCATCACGGAAGTAGTGTCATACGCTGCAGACACCCCGCTCGCTGCGGACTCTCACCTGTTGACGGGCTGGAGCGGATGGGAACCAGCCTCGCTCCTTTGTGTAGGTGTATCGTTGGTGGCTGCTCGACTCTATATCCACCACAAGGGTGTACATCTTCTCTGGGTCCAACCCGTGCAGAGAGACCACAATAGATGGAAACAAACACCTGGGAATTGATGCAAGACATTCATTCATTCTGAAGCACTACTAGATAACCCACCTACCCATGAGTAAATCATCACGCAATAGATAGTGGGGTATTACAACTATTGTCCATAACATTTAATGCAAGAACTATGAGGTTTTTGATCTGAGCTGGGACAGCAGTTGGAACATTATTAGTGGCCTGTTGCACTACTAAGGGCACGACTGATGATCTGATGTAGAAAAGAGGAGAAAAGCTTAAAATGTATCCCAGCTTGCCCATTCTAGATCTTCAGTAACAGCCTTAAGGGAAGGGGCGCGTTGAATGGTATATCCTGTCAACTGAAGGAGAACAAAGCAGGTGAGATCTATTAAGAAACAAGACAGACAGTGGGATAGTACATTTCCCCACCCACCCAGACAGCACATTTCCCCACCCACCCACCCAGACAGCAGCAGGGTTACAAGGAGAGTGCACATTCTTGCTGCTTCTGCTCAGATGACACTACCATGTCCCAATCATTTGGTAAGCACTTTTCTCTCTGGTTCAGAATTATTACTAAATGCAAATGTATCCAGCAGAGGGGGCTAGTCATAGACATACTGCTATCTTAACATTTCCCCCCCCCCCCACCCCACCGCCCCGATTGAGTAACCTACTGCTTGAGCTTGTGGACCACACAGGAAAATGAATAATCTTTGCATTTGATACAGTGCCTTATCATGTCATCAAGACATCATGTCCCCCAAACTGCCAAGGAGTGAGTGACCAATTATGTGAATAAATGCAGACAGTTATCTTCGTAACACAAATGTTTTCTATTTCACTCAGAACCCAGTAGTGAACACGTTCCTTAAGTGAGATCCTTAAGTGAGATCGGATGGGTTGAAGGGCCTTCTTCAATCCAAACCAATCTTTTACTTACTTGCCCAGTGGTGACTGAAACTACAGGTACTTGCTTTTCGTCCAAGTGCAAACAATGGACTGGAGAACATTAGAAATGGGCTCCCTCATGTAGACTTTTATATCTCCTTTGAGATTGAGCTGGTGTGTGCAACAGTCCAAGGTGCATTATATATTTAAAAATCATACTTCATATTTTCTCACAATGCTCACCTCCTGCCGGGTGCAGATCATATTGAACTCTTGCTGAGTCGTTCTCGTATAGGTGTATGTACATTGTGATCTTTGAATCAATTATCCATTTGCAAACAAATTGTCTATGCAGTAAGGTCTCTTGTTATGTGTCAGTGCGCATTCTCTTATATTTGTGATGGAGACACTGAAATTGGCTTCAAGACCTGAGACAGCATGGAAATGGAATACTGGTAACTTCCCCATGGCTGAATGGTCAACCTCAGCATCTTGGCTCACACACGTCTATTGGCTATGTTGGCAAGATACACAATGGCTATCAAACCAAGCAGCAGACCAGCACACCACCTTGAAGTAGAATGGAAACTGAAGGGATGGGAAAACGTCTTTGTGTTGCCTCAGTTAAAGAAAAAAAACCTTACCCATGCAACTGGTGAAGACAGCACTTGTAATTTAGAAACACAGCTATAAAGATATTACAATTGATTAATACATTTGCTGGAGGCCTAATGTGCTCTATTAGAATTCTGAAAATCTCCTTCTCTTCTGCAGCTGTGATCAATAAGTGCACGCAGGGCACATGATCTTCTTACACAACTCTCCATACCTAGGTCAAGGTGTTCATTAAAGGAAGTCCAACCTCCTAATCGGAGAACCAAGGAGCCGAACTACCTTTTCAACAGCTCACAGTGATGACATTTCCTGTAATCTACAGGGTGTTTACAAAGTCCTGTTGTTGCCACCGCACCACCCCCCCACCCCCCACCTGTTTTTCTTACAGTGATTTTTTATTTTCTGTTGCAAATGAGTAGAGTGTAACAATGTCTGATACCAATAACTTCCCTGTCACTCTGTTACGGAAGATGTGGCACCGAACATGGCAACGGATTATTATCTGCCATGAAAATGATGGCACTCTTAACACACTGATCCCTCTGGATGTCTAAATGCAGTTAAACACTACCACTGAATATAATTAAGTAACTTCTAAATACTATTATCAGCATTCTTCCACACGTTTTAAGCGCTCTGAGACGCCGTGAGGCGTGGAGGGCACTATATAAATCCACATTGTTGTTGTTGTTGTTTCAGTTGTTGGTCAATGCACTTTGGGGGGAAACAAAGTAGGTAACAGGACTTTGTGAATACCCTGAAGGCTCAGGCTTGCAACAAAGCCCATTTGATCTATCTCTTCCTTCCAGAACATCAACCCCACCATCTTCCCATTCTAGTATTTGGATGAGATGATATTAGTTTTTAAATGTTCTTTGTTTTCACGTGAATGGTGGATTAAAGCAAAAGTCGCATTTTCCTTTGTGAATTGCCTTTCACAAACTACCAGATGGTGCTGTCCTTTAAAGGGTGGGGGGAACAGTGGCGAGGAACAACTTTCACTTATATAGCGCCCTTCACGGGGGACAGCATCTCGGAGCGCAGAAGCAATGGAACTGAGATCCCAACCAGATATTTTGGACTGTTAAAAGAAAGGTTACTTTTTTTAAAAAATGATAGATCACCACAAAGTGCATTAAAAATATTAAGTTCCATAGAAAGTGATTGAATCAATACAAATTATTTTGTTATTTATGAAATCTAACCTAGTCTGACCCAGACATTTTGATTTAAAAAAGTCAGCTTATTTTAATACTTCTTATTGACAAAACTAACCACAACACAGAGGCAGCCAATCTTCCTAAAGGGATATGGTCACTGAATTGGAAAGTTATCAAATCACTACCCCAGAGATAGCTTAGCTCAGCAGAGAGTGGAGATCAATACCGGGGCCTTTCATAACCTGTATGACTCAGTACCATACTGTACACTGGGGAAAGACCAACGATCAAATGTAGGATTTTCCGGATCTATATGGTTCAATTCCATCCTGGGCAGTGCCTTTACCAACTGAGCCATTGGGGAAACTTACAGTACATTGTCCTCCAATCTGGTAAAATGTCTTGCAAGGCGTGGCTCAATAAACTTTATATTCCAAAATTCTGCTTCTCCAAAGCCTGAAATGCAAGTCATAACGACAATTGGAGGCTGCCCACACACCTCACTGTAAGTGGAACTGCTCAATAGCTTACGGTTCAATCCACGACTGTTCGTGGGGACGCTGCTGTAAGGCAATTGTCTGCCGCCTTTCGCCCACAGAATACAGAGTCAATTCGCTTTACGGTATATTCCAACGAAGCGCTTTGCAACATCTCAAGGACGCGATAATATGCTATATCAAATGCAAGGATTATTATTACTTATTAGCGGTGGGGGGGGTTGGGGGGTGACTGTAGGCATAGCCAAAGATTCTAACTCGCAGTCGAGAGCGCTAATGGACTGGTCCAGGCTGACACATCTCACAATGACAATTATCTTCAAACTTACCCCCCACCCCCCCAAAAAAAGAAAGCATTTTTATACCTAACATTAAACGGTGTGGCTGTTTACTGTACCTTCCTCTGCCAGTCACGATCATCTCCGTCCCCACTGAATGGAACTTGCTCCACAGCAGCTGGTTCTCCTTAACCAGCCGGATTAACGGGACCATTATCGAGGTTCCCGCGCTCCAGAACTCTATGGGAAGAGTTCCCGTTGGGCGCGAACCAACTCGGCGCCTTCAGTCAAGCGGCTCCGGCAGAGGCTCGGTCACGAATCCCGGGGCACAGAGAGCGTGTTGGCTTTCATCCATTGGGAAGCATCGCCTTAAAGCCAGGAAGTCCGACCCAGGGACAGCAAGAGGTGTGCAAGCACAGGGACTGCCTTCACCCCCACCCCCACCCTCTCTCCCTCTGATCACAGGTGAAATCCTACGTGTGTATATATATATATATATACACAAACACGAGCTTTAAACGGGAATTCCTTATTTCTTATTTCCAAAGACAACTAAGTGAAGGTTAAAGGGTCCAATGTGTGTGAGTGAGTGTGTGAGTGAGTGTGTGAGAGTGTGTGTGTGAGTGTGAGTGAGTGAGTGAGTGTGAGTGTGTGTGAGTGAGTGTGAGTGAGTGAGTGAGTGTGAGTGTGTGTGTGTGTGTGTGAGTGTGTGAGTGAGTGTGTGTGAGTGAGTGTGAGTGTGTGGCTAAGTCCTGAGTGTGATTGAGGAGGGAGGAGGGAGGGTGGAGGTGGAGGAGATGGTGGAGGAGGGGGAGGGGGAGGGGGAGGGGGTGGAGAGAGGAATTGAGCAATGAACCGGATTTTGCCAACGATTCGCAAGAGAAAAAGTTTGGAGGATTGGTGTAAAATCCCCGATCACCGACACCGTGAAATCCCCCGGAGGGTCGGGACGGGTCGGACCCTTCCCTCTGGATCTCTGCCCCACCAGTCCCGGCCCCAGACCCGCTGTCCCGGGTTTGCTGAGACGTTTTGGTGCTTATTTCCCGGTTTCGCTCTGGTTTGCAAAAAAAAAAACCCCAAAAAAAAACCAAACCCCTCTCTCTCTCTCTCTCTCTCTCTCTCCTCTCTCCTCTCTCTCCCCTTTTCAGCCCCGAGTGATGAGGGGGAGACAACAAGTCGAGAGGCAGTTTCTCCTCCGGGAACGGGAATGTCAGTCGCCCCTCTGTGTGGTCTCCAGTCCCCGCTCTCTGGTCCACTCCTCTTCCAGGATCCCGAATGCTCCGCAAGTGACAGTCCGGATCACCAGCGGATCCTCTTCCATTGCAGCTTCATGTCTCTCTCTCTCCCCTCTCTCTCTCTCTCTCCCCCTCCTCTCTCTCTCTCTCTCTCCCCTCTCTCCCTCTCTCTCTCTCTCTCCCCTCTCTCCCTCTCTCTCTCTCCCCCTCTCTCCCCCTCTCTCCCTCTCTCTCTCCCCCTCTCTCTCTCTCCCCCTCTCCCCCTCTCTCTCTCTCCCTCTCTCTCTCCCCCTCTTTCAGCCCCAGTTTGATCCCCTTTCTCTTCTCACCTCCTCCCAAGTCTCTCTCTCTCTCTCTCTCTGAGTACCTTCAGACACGAAATGGCACCGCCTGAGCTCCGGCTCATCAACTCTCACTCTCTGTCCATCTCTCTCTCTCTCTCTCTCCCTCTCTTTCAGCTGCTGAGAAATATTATCAGAAGCAACTCCTTCACCATCTGACGTATCTCCTCCTCCTCCTCCTCCTCCTCCTCACACCATAAACCCCGATATCATCACAAATGCAAAGTCATCTTCCAGCTTCACTGTTCCAAACATCAGAGACCCTCCTATGACACACAGCCACCGAACCCCTTCTGCTCACCTCTCCGCCCTCTGCCCACTTGCCCATGGCGGCCCGGGCTGGGTTTGGGCTCCTGCTCCTGTTGAAGTGAGCTTCCACTGACATTAGCTTCCGATCAGCATCTTCCGAAATCGCCAACGAGTGTCAGTCTTCCTTTGACTTCACCCAAGTCTAAGATATCCGGTCGCACAGTTGGTCAGCACGCCATCGCCTCGCAAGCGTGAGAACCCGGGTTCAGTTCAGTTCGGGCAGAACGAAACCTTAGGCAAGTTTGCTTACTCCACACGCCTCTGTTTACCCGAACAGTAAGTAGGAACCTGGTTGTTGGTCGCTCGGGTCCTGACCCAACTGTCCAGCGCCTTGGGACGTCCTCCCGACGTGAAAGGCGCTCTATAAATGAAATCTTGTTATTGTTGTTGTTGTTGATTGGCGCATTGCTTTCTGAGAGTAATAATTGCCTCAAAAAAATGATAAGAATCATATTCCTCGCATTTGGTACAGCAAAGCACTTCACATGAATTACTATGAATAATAATAATATCCTTTCATTTGGTATAGTACATTGATTACAGAAGGTTTGCTCCAACGTTACCATACTTGAGATCAGCCAACTCGGAAGAGAACCTGAGATCATTCCTACTCTCTCTATGGAGTTCAGGCACATACCAGTTAGTAGCTTTGCCAACTGAGCCATTGGGAAAGTCCAACAAACCATTTTAATAAGAATAGAATTAATTCCCAGAAACAAAATAAACATCAATGTAGTACATGCTCCTCAGTGCTATATGATTAATGAAAGCCAATGTTGATCTGTGCAAAAACTGTGTCTTACTAATTTACTGTCATTTTACTCAGATGCTACCAAGGGATAAACCCAAAGATATCAGAGATTTTCACTTTCAAAAGGCATTTGATAAAGTACCTCGTGAGATATTGTTAGCAGAGGCAAGGATTTATAGCAATTAGGGAAAACAGTAGATTGAAAAATGGCTCAAAGGGTAACTATAAACGGGAATTCCTTCATCTTGGGAGACGTGTCTTGTTGAGTTCCCCAGAGAGGAGAACTACACCTTTACTTTTCATAACCTACAACATTATTGAATGAGAGCAAAGCACTGGAAGCAGAGATGCTAACTTTGCACTGGAGAGTCTGAAGGGATTTAGACAGACTCACTGAATCTGTCTGGTACTGAGTTGCATGTACGAGAGGGATGTTTACTGCATTTCTGGAAATTAATTAGTGTTCTTATTAAAAATGTCAAATGATTTGGAGATTATTCTTAATTCTGGATACATTCAAAATAATGTACTGTCAACAACAACAAATTACTTTTGTATAGCGCCTCTCCTGTCGGGAGGACGTCCCAAAGTGGTAGACAGTCATGGATTTGTACCAGAGCTGGGGATTGGGATCAGGAGCGGTGTAGGGCAAGGGAGGATGTGGTTAGAGGGTGACCGAAGGGTAGGAGGGTGACCGAAGGGTAGGAGGGTGACCGAAGGCGCGGTCAAAGAGGAGGATCATGAGACGGGCCTTGAAGGAGGCAAGGGAAGGGGAGAGGTAAAGGGATTTAAGGGATGGAGTTCCAAATCTGTTCAAGCAACCACCTCCATTCAGCACTTGCCCTCTGTTAACAACCAACCCGGAACAGCCTGGACAACCCGGTTTGCACACCAACAAACCCTTTCTCGGAGGCCACCCTTATACAAAGGTTACTTTGGTGGCCACTTCGCGGTTGTTGAAGCCAACAACTAGTGATTGTATATACAAGTGGAGCACAGCCTAAATACACCACAGTCCCAGTTTTGCTACAACTATTTGGCTAGGATTCAGGATTCTTTTGCTCAGTTGCCTTTGGGATTAAGGAGAAATGTCAGATTATTTCTATTCTCCAAATGCTATTGAGAACTTAACAAGCCTAAAACCAAAGAGGAAGACAACAACAAAGTTGAGAAGATGATTTATTTTTCCCTTCATTTTTCTTTATAATAGTAATAATCCTTGGATTTGATATAGCATCTTATCACGTTATTGAGACGTCCCAAAGCGCTTCACAGAATATACCGTAAAGTGTATATTTTGTGGGCGAAACCCGGCAGCAAAATGAGCACAGCAGTGTCCTACAAACAGTCGTGGATTGAGTGACCAAATTATTATTGTTGATTTATTATTTGGGGGAGGGAGGATTATTAATATTACAACGTAATTTATAACATGAACGGAGAGAAACAACAAAAGCTGTTCAGTTCATGCAGTTCAGAGTGAATCCAGACATCGCTTTGTTTTACTGTATCGGTGTAACATTGACTAACAATGCATCATAGTCACTTTGAAGTAAGTGAGTAGCCTCTTCCCAGCAGAGCTCCTTATGAAAATATACAGGGAATCATTCAGGGAGATCGCTGCACTGCTCATCATCATTATTTCAAATAGTTCCTGTGTAAATAGACCTGCTTTTGATGTCTCCCCTCCACAGCCCTAGCCTAACCCACCCCCCACAAGAGTACTAATTGCCAAAGTCACTGGCTCTGATCACTTTCCCTTCGTGGGACTGTAAACTGCTTTGTGTACAGGAACATTTCTACAGTTAAGCACTGCACGGAGGAAAGGAGAGAAATTAATGCAAGCTTTCTGCACGAGTTAATCAAATTGTCCTTTTGCAGAAAATGATAAAATTGCCTTTAAAGGGTCAAGAGCCAAGGTTGAGATTTTAGCGTAATGGCAAATCAGATCAATGAACTATAATCCAATATTGCTTCCCTTTCTCTGCGAACCTTTTAAGAACCATAGCATAAAATATCATTCATTTAGAGTCAATTGTTTGTGCTCATTAAGACAAGGGATTGGTGTGCTGGGAAATGAAACACTGACAATATGGGGAGTAATTTGCGGGTTGGGTTAAGCATGTGCAAACGTATTTTGCACAGAGGGAATTACAGGTGGCCTTAATTATGTTTTAAGAACTAAGGAAAAAGATCACAGCGATGATTCATTAATCGCTGAATTACATAATGAAGAGCATGTGTGTGAGTTTGCACATGGTTAACCTGACCAGCATTCTTTCTAAATGGGTTGTTAACCCAACCCGTAAATTAAGATCTCATTTTCAGTATCGAGTATTTCCAGGTCAAGCCCCATGTGGGGACTTTGAGAATAGTCTAGGCTGACACTCCAGTACAGAAGGTATTCTGAAGTGTCGGAGGTGCGATTCTTCAGATCAGTCATCAAACCGTGGTTTTGTCTGCCTGTTTAGGCGGACGTTAAAGATCCCACAGTATCCCATGGAGAAGAGAAGGGAGTTCCTCCCGGTCTCCTGGCCAACAAGCCCACGGATAAAATTGGTCTCTTCATGTCATGGCAGTACGTGGGGTAATGCTGATAATGATGGCTGATAATTCTGTGTGTGGCCCATGGCAATTCCAGAGGTCAGTGGAGCTATATGTGACACCCCCTTACTAACTCCACCTGACAAATGTGTCATTGCTCTTGCCTGGAACCCTAACCTTCCACCTTACTTGCTATCGCCTTAACTCCATCCAGCAATAGAGACTTAAAAAGACCAGATGTTTGAAGAAGAAGGTCAAAGAGGAATGTCTT